GAAGGCTAGACATTTTCCCATATCACATTCTGTGATGAGATTGTCAATGAGGCAAAGTAGCGTTTGCTATAGCAATCGACTGCATTACTTATTTTTCATTTGTAAGTAGGTTTTCGAGGGCACTGGTAAATCATATATATGAAATGTGTCGAGATTTTACGCTGCACTGTCATGGTTCGAGTCCCGCCGGTGGTGTGGAGGACACTAAGGCGAAGTCGGAACGGCAGTCCGCCTTGAATGAGAACAACTTTTGGGAAAACAAGGCCTTGCAAAATGCAATGGAGACGTCGGCTCAACTCATATGATTGTGGAAAAATTCAACTAGCAGTCCCCTTGAAGGTATGAAGACCAAGATAGTGTGGCCTTTTGTTTGGTCGCAGTCTCCTTTCGTTGTTAGAGGTTGTTTGACCTTGTTTCCACAACATGGTCATATTGGTAGGAAGACTTATCGTAGTCGGCTACGATGCCGGCGAAACGTCTGGGAATGTACCACGTCCACGGTTCAACTTTGGAAATGATCATACAGACAATGGACCTGGTGTGTTCCAATAAGTCTTCCTACCAATATGACCATGTTGCGAATACAATGTCAAACAACCTCTAGCAGTCCCCTTTTCACTTTAAATCAAATTAGATGAATACACCACATATATATGATCTACTGATAGTCTCTATAACGTGCTTAAAAAACGAAAAATGTGTTATTGGAATTATTTGAAGGAGAGTTGGGCTTTAGGGATTTTTGTGAATTAGGTTTATTTAACTGACTTTAATCTCAAGTCAGCATGTGTGATGTAAAGAAGGTCGACTTTACCGGAAGATGACGGCGGATTCCGCTCGGCTAACTGTCGTTTAGCTCTATCTGAACGTTGTGGGTGACGCTGTCCTCGAAGCAATCTCTATCGGTTCCAGAGAATGCGTGATGAGTTTTCGTCCGTCATATGGCAGACATCCGCGAAAAAGAGGATCATTTTCCGTTAACGAGCCACGAACCACCAATGTCTTATCTCACACGGTTTATGCATACTCTTAAACTATGAATCTTCGCGAAGTGTGGAGTGATTTTGTTATTTTGTGTCATGCATCAACCTAGAAGCATGCCTTTGCGTGCGTCGTTTATTCATGTGCACGTGAAGACACGAAACCGGCAGTAATAGCTCCAAGTAATTACAACATAACATTACCTGAGCTCTTGGCAATTAAGTTCTTGTGATGAAGTTTTTAAACCATCACTCCAATTTAGTAATGTCTAATTAAGTTTATGTGTTTTTTTATGTGAACTTCGACGTGCATAAAGTGTGTGACCTAAATTGTAATCGACTTTTTCCAGCTAACCTAGAGTATATATAGAAAATGGCATTTTAAACCGAAGAGGTTTCTTGATTTATCTGTACTTATGATACCCTCTGAGGATATCTGTCATATTGTAGACGAAAGCTGATGCTTTTTTGTGGAATTGGAATAGATTTCTTCGAGGATTGCATCAACCACACCGTTCTGATAAGGTCTAGAGATGATAGGCCAAGAAGAATCCGTCATTGTCTTTTGATGGGATTGGCATTCGAATCTCTCAATCGCATACATTCACTCGATCTAGAAGTATGCTTAGTAATGAGCAGTTGCCCAACCGGTGGTAACATATGAGCATATACATTGCTTTGGACGAAGCACTGAAAGTATTTATTCCGAGGGCTTCTTCATTGCTGACCTCATGAAACTCATCGAGCATACCGCCCTCACTTATTCTATTATTCGAGTGATTAGGCCATATTTCGGGATACGATGACACTCGATCTGTATCTTACTGTCGACACTCAATGCAGATTGATTTTGTCTACATCTACCGCCTTCTATAGCCATTTCTACCTGATACTTGATCTATTCGATTTCCTCTTCTTGCATCTATCTATGCGCGCCTCCATGCCGTTTTCAGTTTCAGTTTCGTTCATTTTTTGTTCTACACCACCAACACCCCTCTGATACCGCCACTCGCCGGAATCAGATCCATCTCAAACACTTATTCCGGGATCGTTATATCCGCGAAACGCCTTCTGGTGATGAGTTGAGAGCAGATCAGCCCTACCCTTGGACTTCTGGGACGCTTTTTTGGCTTGAACAGCCCAGCATGACTCCATCAGCCCCGTTCTCTGCAGCAGGACCTGTAGCCTCGTCTGGTCGCGCCAGCGCAGGCAGCAGCGGAAGTACATCCAAGACCGCCACGGTTGCTCGGCTTGGTCGTGTCGCACTACGTACACAGTCTGGCCGCTATCTTCGGCCCGCCGATGGCTCCCTGGTGGAGACCATAGACGACCCAGTCCTCATGTCGATGGAGCTCAAGCCGGGTGAGTTGTTTGCATTTTCCATAATCATAGTCCACTTTCGAGCATACTCCGCAGTCACACGGACTGGGAGTAAACATGGACTTTTAGAGGTTTCGTTCTCGAGACATGTGGTTTTCAAGAAAATCTGTACTCTACCAGTAAAAGTATCATTTACAAATATATGAGATGTGTTCATCCTATTTCGTTGAGGTGAGGAAGAACTGATAGTTGAATTTTCCCACAATCATATGAGTAGACTTTAAGCTTCTATTGAATTTAACATGGACTTGCCTCCCAAAAGGTATTATCATCCCGGCTTCAGTGCACTTCAATTGTAAACCCACCTGAACTAGTTTCATCCGCACCCCCATCGAGACTCGAACCATGTCAGTGCACCGTCTTATCTCGATGCATTAGCCACTACGCCATACTGTCATGAATTCCCTTGGGACACAAGATAGATGTGAATTTCACGGAAGGCCAGACACGTTATCATATTACATTCTGTGGTTCGATTGTCGAAGGAGCAAAGTAATATTTGCCATAGCAATCGACTAAATTACTTATTTTTCGTTTATAAATAGGCTTTTGACACAACCAGTGTATCATATATGCGAGGTGTAATCATCCTGTTTCGTGTAAGGAGACAAGGGGACTGGTAGTTGAATTTTCCCACAGTCATATGATTAAATCTTACGTTTTCAACGAATTTCTTATGGCATTTCTTTCCCCAAATGTCCAACCTGAAGAATATTTCCCTTCGGGAAGGCAATGGATACTTAAGGTCTATTCATAAGATTGTGGGAAAATTCAACTACCAGGCTTTCTATCACCTTAGGCGAACTACGCGAAAGCAACTCATATGCTGGTAGTCTCGAAGACCAATTACACATAAATTGTGAAGGCAGCTGTGCGAAGGAGAGAAGCAGGAAGTTTAAGGTAACTGTATTAGGCAGATTATGTGGTTACACATCATTAAACATATTGATGGGAATAAATGATTGTGTAGGGTTGGTGAGTGAAAAGGAAGACTTGAGGTTGGGTGCTCTGTCTATTCTACAGAATGCCGGTCGGCGGAACTGACTTACTCTTTCATTTTGACGATATGTGGTCTTGTTTTGAGCATTTCCCCAGATATTGATGCTGACCTTGCCTGAAGATGCGTCTATTCATCGGTCCGATGTTAAAAAAAAAGACAGCCACATGTAGTTTCCCCGAATTCTATGCAGTGATGCGGACAAATGGCGAAGACGAGGCAAAAGCGATCTAATTTTTAAAATGTATGTCACTAAGCCAGTAATTTTTGAGAATCACTAATTCAGTCAATCATGATTCTGAACTGGCATGTCAGTATACATTGATACCACATCGAAACTCACCAAAAGGTCCTCATCCCTAATACTTTGTTCAGAAGGCCACTGAATCACTAGCGCTCAGCCTAGATGGAAACCCACAAATTATTAGAAAAGTAAATCTGAGCAAAAGCTCAATCTTAAGGTTACTTAACCTATCCATGAGTAGCACATACGTCACCTTTAATGACAGGGTTTATGGACAGGTGCAAGGCCTAACAATGAGATCTTGTTTGGCTCCAAATTTAGCGCATACTTACATGTACAGGATAAAGGAACGCCTGATAGAAGAGGTAAGAGTGACTCCAAAACGGTTAGTTAGATACATGGATGACTACTTTGCCATATGGCAGCATGGTAGGATAGCTTAGATAATATCTTGTTTATAATTAACCAGATTGATTGCAATTTTAAGTTGACAATGGAGGTAGAGAAGGATGTTATGGTGATCATAATAGATGAGAAGTTAAGCAGGGATGTGCAGGGAAAGTCAAAACATGTTGGCTTTATCCTTAATTTCTACTCCGACTAAGACTAGCCGACAGAGACTATTGTGATTATGAACTGGATCGGCTTAAAATAATATTTCTTGAGAATAATTATCGCCTATTCATGTTTGAAATTAACATTGGATTAATAAAGAATAGCTTTTTGAATGGTGAATACGTAAAAAGAGATAAGGAGATCTTTTCTCATGTTTTGTCTTTACCTTCGTGCATGCTCTCTAAAAGGATAGGTGAACAAGTAAGGAAATGGGGAATAAAAACGGTCTTTAGGAAAACTACGACAATTTCTTCAGTTATGCCCACTTTTAGAGAGAAAGTTGACCCATTATCCAGATCGGGTTGTTACAAAATAATGTGTTCATGTGTTCGCTTTTATGTTGGAGAGACTTGTTGCCCCATTCAACAAAGGGTGGCTGAGCACAAAAGCGTATGAAAAGG